AAAAAACTTTAAATGTCAGAACATTCCAAGAATAATTAATAGCTTGCAAGTTTTTTTTTTTATAGCTGTAATAAATTCTGGTTTTATATTTGTGCCCTTGCTTTGATATAGTTGAAAATGTCTAATGGTATGATAAAATATGTGTGTTTATTAAAACATATAAAGTATGTATATTCTGAACAATGAATTTATGTATTTCAGCCAACATGGACTATATGAACACAGATTCCCCTTCAACATCTTAAGTAGGATTAAATGCAAGCATCAGTTTTGTGCTGCTGTAGAGTGTCTGATCCTTTCCTCTTGCTACTGAGAAGTAGCCCTTAGCAGGTTGCATTTCCATGTTTTAAGACTGCAATGTCATAACGAGAAAGTTGCTTTTAGTGATTTTCAAGTTTTTTAAAGACTCCTTTTTAAAAGTCCAAAAAACCCTTGGGTCAGTGCCTCTAATGGCATTTTCAGCCTAATTCTAAACCAGATTTTTCTTTCTTTTCTGGCTCAAAAGAAGAGCGACCTTGTTAACCAGTTCTTTTAGTTATTAGTCAGTGCCCTAAAATGTCCTTCATTGCATAGCATAACTTGGGTTTGTTTGTTTGTTTGTTTATTTATTTATTGTGAAAGCTCGTTTGTATAGCCACCGACTTTCCTTGTAGGTACAGCCTAGGTATTTCTAGAAAAGCTTTAACCTTGTGGTAAACTTCATATCCCCATTCTCCCCCTTAATACACTGTTTTTTTTAGCAAAGCTATTTTTCTTTCCCTGGCTTTGTAGTTCCCTGTTCATAGCAAGCTCTTAATAAATATTTATCGACTGGAATTGAATTTGAGCTGCTGAGAAGTCACAGTCTTGGGGTAGGGTTATTCATTTTGGGCAGGAGCGGTCCTAAGTCAACTGAGTTTAGTAGTCCAGCTGATGAACTGCTCAGCTCCAGCAGGTCTACCTTCTCCCGTGCAAACATTGAAGACAGGGTGGCCTTCCGACCCCTGATGCAACACAGATCCCAGCCCCTTTCAGGTCTTCTGTACTGTGTATGCAACAGCCTTCCTGTGTTCCCTCCCTTTTGCACAACTGCATGAATCCCTGTCTTTATCCAGGCGTCTCTTAAGCCTTTCCATAATGATTCACCTGGAATATTCCTTTCTGCAAATTTAGGCATGCTTTTCTTGATGCTCTTGGGAATATGCCTTAGCTGCTGTTTTTCTCTTCTAGAGCTTTGTTCATACATCGTCACACCACAGTTCTGAATTCTTTAACTCTTTCTTACACCACCAGCTTTTCCCTCTAGAAAACTCCAGAAGGACATGTCTGTGACTTAATCCTTTGTCTTCCCCTCTGGCCCAAACAGTGCCTGGCATGTATACTTACTTTCTTTGAATAACAAATGGTCCTTGAAGTTCATGTCAATTTACAAATGGAATAAAATAAAAGTGGAAACGAGTGTAGAAGGATATCATTAATTATATGCCTAATTCTAATTCAGTTGTGATATAGTTTGGAAGATGCAGGGGCCCGAGGTTCACAAGATGCAAGCTCTTGTGTTGAATTGATGGTTTTTAAATTGTCCCTTAATCTTTGTAGTTCTTAGCTTTTTAAATCTAGTAATGAATGGATTGGATGAGATTTTTACTAAGATCCCTTCCAGCAAGTATCACATTGCTCCTAAGTTAATTATATAGAACAAGGTCTCGTTTGCCAGACTCCTTAAGGCAGGAAGTATGTTCTACTCACCCTTAATTTCCTGGCATATAGCTCAGTACCTGGTATATGGAAGTTATTCAGAGGGTTTTGTCCTTTAATCAAGCAGTGTGTTTTCCACATGAAGTTACAGTTAAAAAAAAAAAAGTGAGAAAAATGTCATGTAAAGAATAGTGAATTAGATATCCACAAAATGGAAAAGAATCTACTAAAAAGCAATTAATTGGAATGTCTAAAAAATATGTGGTATTTTTCATCAAGTAGTTAACAACCAAAGCAATGGAACAAATGAATTTGAAGCTGCCCTGTCCTCTCTTTACAAGTTAATAATTTATCAATCTGTGACGTTTTACAAGGACATGCTGCTTATATTCAGTTGTGTCTATTGTAAGAGCTTGAAATTCATGTGTGCTCATGGTAGCTTTCGAGAATTGAAAAATGGGAGCTGATAAAATGTGGCTCAGTGGGTAAAGATGCTTGTAGTTAAGCAGATAACCTAAATTCTATCTCTGCACCCACAAGGTGAGAGCAAAGTACTGGTTCTATCAAGTTGTTCTCTGACTTCCGCACACAAGCCATTGCACGCACGCGCAAGCACATCATTGCACATTCATACTGTGAGTGTGTGTGTTGTGTATAGTAAAAAATCAACAAATAATTAAAAAGCTGTGTCCTGGTGTAAATCATTGACATATGACCCATGGTCCTGGCAGTGAACTTCCTCTTTGTTATCTGGCAAGTTCTGTCAGCCCTTTTACTCTACAAAGGCTTGATATTATTTAATAAGGGAGATTTCATCTGTCCCTTGCCAAGAAATCTCTTGAGGATTAAGGTAGTGTTCTTATATTTAAATTAAGCCCTTACCCCTGGGTTGTTAATTGTATACCTATAGAACTCAATTATCTCAATTATGAAAATTAAGCAAATTATATAGTCAAACTATTTACACAAAGTGTGGTGTGTATGTGTGTATGTGTATACAATGATTTTTTTTTCAGTCAATTAAACCTGTTTATTTATTAGTTGTATACTATGTGCTAAAATCTTCTGTCTTCGGAAGTGTACACAGTAGGAGAAAATATTAAGTGTATTACTGTGAAAATTGGTGTTTTTAAAGGTTGATGCTTGACAGTTTAAGTCAGAGTTTTCATATATATATATATTTGAGCTGGGTGTGGTGGGACACACCTTTAATCCCAGCATTCCAGAGGTAGAGACAGGAGGATCTCTGTGAGTTCAAGGCCAGCCTGGTCTACAAATCAAGGTCCAGGACAGCCAGGGCTGTTACATAGAGAAACCCTGTCTCAGAAACAAGCAAGCAAGCAAGCAAGCAAACAAACAAACAAATCCATGTGTGTGTGTGTGTGTATGTGTGTGTGTGTGTGTGTGTGTGTGTGTGTGTGTGTGTTCAGAAACAGGTATATGTTTTGTGAAACCTGAAACCATTATTATTTGGAGGGTCCCTACTATATAAGCTTAATTAGGAAGGTGAATTTTCTTTAGAGTAAAAGAAACAAACGAACAAACGAATTGAAAATTTAAGGCTCCCAAGACTGGAGGTGTTGATGAACATGTCTCCCATGCCACGTCTTGCTCTTAGTCTCTCCTGTTACCCACATGCTCTTCCTAGCCTGGCTTCCAAGAGGCCATTTGGAGAGATTATTAGAGTGCATTTCCCTGCCCCCATGGCAGGATGGTCAGTTCTATGATACTCGTGTGTTCCAGAAGTCATACTTAAAAAAAAAAAATGCTCTGTTCATGAAAATTATGTATCTTTAAGGTTTATGGCACAATGTTTTGGTGTACCTGTGAAGGGAAAGAGGCACTCCAGTGACTCTAGTGGAATGAGGGACCGTGTCCGCTTTGTTTCGCAGTGAACATTTACTGTAGCAAGGTGATACTGCAGCTGTGGGCCCTGCACTTTCTGTTAGATCTCTAGACTTGGTCATCTTCCTGCCCTGCTCTGTGTGCCCTTTGACCTACTTTCCCCACGTTTTCTTCTCCTCGTTCTTTATAGCTATTCTTCAACTTGTTTCTACTTATTTCACTTCTTCAGTTTTAGATTCTGTACATAAATGAGATCACACAGTATTTTTCTCGGTCTGGTTTATTTCAGACTGCCAACCATAATTTTACTATTTATGGAAGTGACTGTATGCCTTGCATATAAACCCTCTAAGCCCATACTAAATGTCTCTCCAACTCAGCTTCCTATCAGACAGGTTCTAGACATGTCCTTTGGCCACTCCACTGCCACCCAAATGTGAGGTTCAGTTTGATGAGAAGGAAGATGACAGGATTGTTAATTTATTGCTTTTAAAATACCTTGTTCCAAAATCTTTACACAAACCAAAACCTTGCACAAAACCTAGAAGAACATGTATCTGAGGGACTCCGGGCAGGCCTTGTGCTACAGTGACTTAACAGATCCTCCTGCGGGTGGGCATGTCACGAGTGCTGCTCTCACACCTTAGTAAAGCATTATGCAATTAATTCCCAGGGATCTTCTTAAAATGCACAAATTAGTGTGTCCCCCAATACACTAGTCATAGGAACAGACTGAAGAGGCTTTTTTTTTTTTTTTTTTTTTTAAATGGCTAAGTCCTATTAACATGTGGAAACAAATGCAATGTAGATTTGAATGGCCACTTCTTTTTTTTTTTTTTTTTTTTTTTTTTTTCTGGTAGAAAGTGTTTTCAGTTCTGCAGGCAGCACTTACTCTTGAATGCTCCAGTGACTGGGCGGCACCTGGTGCAATGACTGAATGATATACGTCACATGTTTGTAGGCCTGGTAGAAACTGAGGGGGAAAGACTTGTTTAGACCTGACACCTGTTTAACTGCTGAGTAGCTCTGTTGTTAATGTTAAAAATTCTCCTTGGGGTTCAGAAACAATGAATCAAAATATTAATTAAAAAATTTTGATAGCCATGAATTTAATTGAGAAATAAAATCCATCGGTTGCCAGCTTTCACTAAAAAGGAGAATATTGGCTGTATAATGGCGATCACTGAGCAGGATACTGGAGTTGTGTTAAATTCTATCATTGCGACATTGTAGAAAAGAAAATCAAGGTGTCCAGAGTTGAAATGAGGATGAGATAAAGGAAAGCTGTGTGGCATAAGAGAATAGGATTTGGTTATTGTTAGAGAAAGGTATTTGTTGCTGCTTTGTAAACTGATTCAGTAATTCAGAGCACAGATTACACTGTGTAAACGAAAGGGACATGGCTCTATCCACTTATCATTTTTCTATGAGGGAAAATACTACAGTTCCCATAAAATATTTTCTTTCTTTGTTTTTAGGTAAGACTGTGCCAAAACCCCAAACTCCAGTTGAAAAATAGCCCACCATATATACTTGACATTTTACCTGATACATATCAGCACTTACGACTTATATTGAGTAAATATGATGACAACCAGAAGCTTGTTCAACTGAGCGAGAACGAGTATTTTAAAATCTACATTGACAGTCTAATGAAGAAGTCAAAGCGAGCTATCCGGCTCTTTAAGGAAGGCAAGGAGAGAATGTATGAAGAACAGTCGCAGGACAGGTAAGCACACTTGACATATCTGCTGTTCATTATTTCCTGTTGTTTATGTTGCTTTTTATCTGAGAGTGAGCAGAAATGCAATGCCCATGTTTGGGGGACTATGTCATTTCCTTGTGTATTTACTTTTCACATTATATAAGTTTAGGTGGAAAGCAGCACCTGAGTCAATGTTCTTGCTTTTCTATAGACCACTGTTGATAGAGTAGTTTAGTTTCACAGGAAGACCACTCACATTAGTTCATCCTCCTTCCTCCTAGGCAAGTAGTCTTATCTAGTTTGTGTCTTTTGTATGGATTTTCTTTAAGACATAGGAACAAGCCTCTCTTCTACCCAGATAGGCCACTGACAGAACAAGGCAACAATTCCACCTAAGTCCAACTTGGTCAACCAGTGTGATTACTGGGGTTATGTGTAGAAGCTGAGTGATAGCAACCATGAGAGCATTAATGTGAAGTCCCACCCTAGCGTGGGTGATTGATCTGAAGCTATTTTATTATCACCCTATCTTCAATTAACCTTCCTCTTCCTATAAGCCCCCTCCTTGACTCCCTGTGCCAAGAACCATGGGTCTAGAAGGCAGGAGAGGGTGGCAGGTGGACTATCAGGTGAGCAGCCACGAGCCTGATAAGTCATCTACTTCATTGTATGAGAAAATGTCAAAAAGCTCTATTTCTATGAATGTAGCTATCACGATATGCTTTTTTCTATTTTGTTGCCATCACTGTGGCATCAAGGTTTTCTGTAGATCATCTTAGCATATCTACTGTGTGACAGATTTGGTCACGCTCAGCCTTGAGACTGGAGCTTCAACCATAATACTGTCTTTGCATTAGTGTGGACACAGCATTGTCAACAGATCAGTATTGATCACTTTGTATTTGGGGCTACTGTTATCTACCCATACTTTAAAAAACAAAACAAAAAAACCAAACCTCTCTTATGTATCCCAGGATGGCATTGGTGTTTTGCCTGCCTGTCTGTGTGAAGTTGTGGGACAGCCTGGAACTATAGTTATAGGTAGTTGTGAGCTACTATATGGGGTGCTGGGAATTAAACCTGGGTCCTCTAGAAAAGCAGTCAGTGCTCTTAAGTGCAGAGCTTCTCCCATGCCCACAGACTCAGACTTTCTATGCAGTCATGCCTTGCCTTGAACTCTTGATCCCCCTGCCTCCACTTTCTGATGCTACCAGGACATATCACTCTGACTTTTCCAGTCCTTGTGAGCTCTGCTGGATGAGTTCAGACACACAAAACGTAGTGTAGAAGAGAGAGGATGAGTTGGGGCAGTAGCCAAAGTAATCATTATGCCAGCCTACATTCTTAGGTAGACTTTATATTAATTAGTTCTCCAAGTTTCTAGAAATGATGGTTTTTTTGATGGGAGTTTGACAGATGGTTGACATGCCCAGTTAAGGGGTGGGGAGAAATAACAGGTTGTCCTTTCTTTACCAGAAATTTTCCTATCTATATAGTAGTCATAGGATCATAAGGTTTTATTGACTGTTTAGAATGTCTCGTCTCCACTTGTGTCACATTCTTTGGACCAGTTAAGTCCTCCAATTGCATTTCTGGTGTTCAAGCTGCTGATTTTGAGAGAGGAATCTCTCCTCTGTAACCTTCCAATCTGCCAATAGCTAAGTATTTACGTAAAACGGGACACTGGGCACTGGGTACCTATAGCCAGTGCCTTTTTTTGTTTGTTCTTTTTGAGAGGTTTCTCTATATAATAGTTCTGGCTGTCCTGAAATTCACTCTGTAGACCAGGCTGGCCTCAAACTCACAGAGATCCACCTACCTATGTCTTCCCAGTGCTGGGATTAAATGTTTATCACCACTGTCCAGTGTAGCCAGGATGCTTTATGTATGGGCGCATTGATGTTTGTTGTCTGGCTCTTTAGTTTTCCCATTTCAAGATCACTTAAGCTAGATAAGGGAATGTATAGTCTGTCCCTTTTCTGAACTACCTTAAATTAACTCCAAATATTCACTGTTAGTAAAAGTATTTCCAGCTGGAACACAAGTATGCATTAAGAGACACAGTGTTAACATTGGTTAAATTCATTTACCTCTCTGAATTTGAGTTCCTTGAATTAGGAAAACCTCTAAGAAACATGTAATGTTTCTTTTACATTAGAAAACAGAACCTCATTTGATTTGAGATGATTTAGGGTTGCATACTAGGAAATGTAATTGTTTTGGTATGGAGGCTTTGGCATTGTTTGTGAAAGCTGACCAAACAAATACACACAGCATGTAAAACCACCAAATTCAACCTCAAACTTCTTGGCATGCTAGTTAAGTTACCTTTTAATATCAGGATGCCAACAAAGTGTGTGACTCGCAGGTAGCACTTTGAGTAGGAGTAGTGTTTTAGCTGGGTATAAGATTGATGTGGTAAACTTGTGTCCCACTTTTATGTCCTCTAATGAAACTTGAAATATTTTCTAATTCAACAGACATTTTATAATTACCACCACCATTGACTGTTTTGTATTTGCACCTTTTATTGCCAAAAAATTTTTCAGGACACATATAACAGTTTTTTAATTATGTGCTGATGGGAGATGTCATTCTGTATATGTTTCTCATACTGGTTAATGAATAAAGCACTGTTGGCCAATAGGAAAGCAAGATAGGTGGGACTAGGAGACAAGGAGGAAAGGAAGGAGGAGTCAAGATGGAGAGTCTGGAGAGAACAGAACTGCCATTCCTCTGCTTTCAGTAAGACCACATGGAAATACATAGAAATGGGTTAATACTTAAGACAGAGCTAGCCGATAAGAAACAAGTAACTGGCCAACAGCATAATATCAAATATAGAGTCTTTGTGCCTTATTTGGGGCTGGCGCGGCAGTGGGACAAGACCAGGCAGTGGGAGGAAAAACCTTACTCCTTACAATGTGCCATGTCCCAGATAATGATAGGTCACATAAGATTGTCTTGTGTAATCTGTGTAAACTACATTTGTACCTGTGGTTTAAGTATCCAAGTAAATTTAATTATTATGTCTTAATAGACAACTGTATGAGGAAATATATTAGTTTGTATGGTGGGATAGCATATTCCCTTGTTGGATTTTCTGTCATCTGTGGCCTCTTTCTTATGGTCTTTAGCCAACTGTTTTTAAAAGTACAAATTCTGTTCTAGATAATTGTCAAATGATGATTTATAATGTATCATTGGCATAGGTACCAAGGACTTAGACTTCTTTGATTTGTGTTTCTCTCAGAGTATATAATTGTGTGCACTTACTGCTGAGAGTCCATGGAGTCTAAATGCAAATTTATTTGAGATGCATTATTGCACGTTTTTAGTAGCTTTGGAGACCAGCTCTCAAGGCTACTCCCAGGGTTGGAAGAAAAACTCCACAGCAAAGCGAAACTGAACTTAGGGTTTTTTTTTTTTAATCTAAGGGTTCCATAATAAATTTACACAAACATGCTATTCGAGTCATGTTCTTTATTCTTCTGGATTTCTAACTCCTTCTGAGTTCTAATTCTTTCTAGTTCTTTGTTTCAATTTTATGTTTCAATTCTTCCTTGTTTCTCTGTTCTCTTAGCTTAAATACTTTTTTTTTTTTTTTTTTTTTTTTTTTTAAACAGAATGCTTGAGGCAGTAAGAAAAAGAGTTACATCTCATTGGCCATACACATTCCTTGGGTAAATGATAAGGAACCAAGCCATTACCATGGCAACACATGGTTTCAATGTTCCAGGTGTAAGACTGTGACCAGAGGCCAGGGGCACAGTGCCTGGGTGAGACAAGCTACATAGAGATCTACACAGTCAGGTCTTATCAGCCATATTTGGGAAGCAAAGAATTGGCTTGGTTTTTTTAAGGTTGCTTTGAGTTAATAGCCTTGGTAGACCTCTGTAACTCTGACCTTGTGCATATCTATAAAGGTTTTAACTTATGATCCATATACAGAAACATTCAGTCTAGTTTGAATTTGCCCTAAGGTAAAAATGAGCTAATTGTGTAACTCACCTTAGACTGGGGAGACTTGTGTTAGTCTGAGTAAAGGGAACAAAGCAGGCTTTTAAGTGTCTTACAGTCCTCATGGGACAATAGATCTAGTTATGAAGCAAATCCTAATATATTTTCTACATATCAAAATTATATAGGTTAATGAGGATCCATCTTCCTAATCATCCAGAGATATATTGTGCCCATAAGATTGAGATGTAATCGTGAGATTACATGTACATGTCACATGAGATTACATACAATGCAGGTATTGGGGAGACATCATAGCTGCTTTTGCACATATGAAATTACAGAGAGGAGCAACAGTTTCTTGAGTCATTGATCCCACGGGGCCTTGCTCAGACGGGATTTTTCACCACAGAACCATTCCTCTGGTGGGTTGAGATCTGAACATCAGTTGTCACCTGCTGCAACTCCCATGGCCTCCAACAGCATATGAAGCTTTGTGGTATTTTGCTGTGTAGAACCTTATAGAAAGAAACTTCTGAGAATGTTCTTATGGAAGTTTGGCCTCTGACTGTGCTGTTCAGTAGAATGATCATTGATCATGTCAGACATGCTGGTTATTTTCTTATGGAAGTTTGTTGGCCTCTGTGCTGTTCAGTAGAATGATCATTGATTGTGTCAGACATGCTGGTTACTGGGAATCATAAGTCCTCTGAACTGTCTTTTCTTTGGTTCTTAAATGGCTCACTGAGAAGAGAAATATTATTTAGTAGATAATGAAGAACAATAGTAGAAATAGTCAACAACTTATCAAGCATTGCTTTATTGGATAAAGTTGTGTTGGATGAGTGTGTGTGTCAAAATGTTTAATGTCCATGTATCTGATGTGTCAAGAATGTACTTCTTTTTGGTTTTATTTTAAAATTATATGTAAATAAAAACAGAAAACTTTGGGGCTCAGTTGTGAAATTGGAGCTGTCCCAGTTGGCTGCCAAAGAGCAAGTGGTTTGATTTGTTAAAGCAATTATTGCTAATGTGATATACATGCAGTGTAAAATGTATAGAAC